ATTTCTGAACCTCCGAAAAATCGTCAGGCCTCATGTATGGAGATGGAGCCGTTTCGCTCCAGGGATCAGGTCGGATCTCCGACCATGGACCAACGGGACCGTGGAAAAATTATTATTTCCTGAAGGTCATCCAAATAGTTGAGAATTCACTGTGACTTCAGTACAGAAAAGCTGCGAGAGCCTTGAGCGCTTGACGATTTTTCGGTGGTTGAGAAATCGTCAGACAGGAGAAGGAGCCCGCTGACAAATCGGAACGGATTTCTCTGAGCGAGCGGACTCAACGAGCGAAGGTCGCTCGCGGCCATGCGGGTGATCTTTCGGCATCGATTTCAGTTTTGTGGTCGAGCTCGAACTCACAGCGAAGCATCGCTCGGGCTTGATGGGGCGCAGCCTCATACTTGTTCTACCGTAGAATTCCGAACGCCTGATGGATCTCGGGACCTTCCAAGAGCATTCTCCGGTACCTGAATCTTGAGGCTGACCTAGGTGACAGAAGCGCCCAAAGTCGTCATTATCGCTGCTCGATGAAGTTTCTACAGTTCCCAGACTGTAAGTGCACTTCCTGCGCCATCCGACTGACTTGTTATCGAATCAGCGAGCTGAAGCGCTATCCCTCTACTTGACGAGCCCAGGGGAGCTTGATGGCCCCGCTGTATCTTAAGACGGATTTACCGGAAATAGTCGCGTCGTAACTCGTGCGTACGTCGTCACTTAGTCTGCGTGTCCACTCGTTCCCAGAGCGGACGAGCGTGATTCAACAGACCGAGCAAAGAGAAGATTGTCTTCGCGTCTGTTCTCTCCCGTTCTTTCCGTGCTCACTCTATTTTTCTCGTTTATTATTATCAGTTGATCAGTAGATGGTCCAGCGAAGCGATACTCCCCGGAATCCATAGGGAGGTCAGCGAAAATTCAGTTTACCTGCATGAGCTCGCGTTCCTGTCGGCTGATCGAAGAATTCGGGAATGTTTGAGCGGGCCGTAGTCCGATGTTTTGTAAGACTCCATGCATGTTGTGATCCTTGTGACTCAGCTAATGAGAGACTTGCCCCTGCTCGGAGCTTCATCTATGACAAGGATAACCGAGTGAAGTTCTCTCATTCGATACACTCAGCGCCGACTACGAACGGCTCGAACCACATTTTAAGCTGCGGCACCGACTAGGTGTCGAGCGACGGAGAATCCCAGACCGCCGACCACCATGAATCGGACAAACATGAATTGGCAACCATTCGCAAGGGCCCCTGTCTGATGTCCCTTAAGTGCTCAGAAAGGAGGTATGATTCACACGGGGCTATTCCCGAAGATCATCATGTTTAGATCCGTAGGCCTACGTAATTTCGCGCCATCCACGCCCATAAGTTCCGTCGACATGACGCCGTACGTGGCCTGCGCCGACCCAATGCAGAGTTCCGAACAGCGGCCGCAGTATATCCAGTGCCTGCGACTCCCTCGTGATTTCCGCGTGCTTTTCACCAGAGAGCATATTTTTGGCTAGAGGCGACGATTTGGGCCCATGCTATCTCTGCTTCTACGAATATTTATACCCGAATCTCTGAGCGCACAGTTCCTCCAAAGGTATTCGCATTTCGTCCAACCTGAATCGACGCACCTCAGTAAATGATGGATTGCCCACGGTATCGTTGTACAATACATCATCGAGTATTCGACGTTCTCCCGACAGAAGTGCTTTATCTGGAAATCACCGGCGTATCGAGCCGGAGTGCTGTCCAGGGCGGTGGTCTGGAATTTTCCGTGCGAGGATGAATTCTGTGATTCGCTCCCGAGATTTAGCGAAGATCTTCATGAAAAGTGCGTCCTGCGCAGAGGTCCCTCTCAAAGCGCGAAAAAGAGGTTATACTCGTGAGGCCCGCTCGACGTTCAGAAGCCTTCGCCTCCTGCAGTCTTCCAAAGCTGACATTCTCAATACTAATGCGGGTATCCGCAGATCGACGAGAGTAGAGACGAGAATGCGGAATAATATCATCCAACTCAGTGGAGCCCTCCGGATTCTGAGGGCGTAGGAGGCAGTCTTGACGTGTGTGAGAGGAGAGAACAGCGCTCTGTTAGAAGCTTGAAGCGAGTGAATCTATCCCGCGGTAGGAAGAGCGCTAATCCACGGGGACCGTGACCAGTAATGATGAAACTTTGCGTGATACCGAATCCTACAAGTCGCGGGGGTAGATCGGCGATCCTACACCTGAATCGCATGCGTTCGCGCTCCTCTCGGCCATGGAAAGGAACGGAAAATATTCGAGCTACATGATAACTCAGTTTCCGAGAAAATCCTAAAAGGTCTGCGAAATCCTTCGAGGTGGCTCCAAATCAGAGCCACCTCTGATTTGGAGTCCATAGAGAAAAATCCCCTCTTGTCACGCATCGGCCGAAGAATGTTCAATTTTTAATTTTCAAATTAATTTTTAGAAGTTGCTCTGCAGCTATTCAGGTGTGAAATTGTCTCAGGAATCCAACGCACTAGGTCCCGAGGCGATCCGAGCAATATTTCCGGAGCTAGACCGGTTCTCAAGGGGTCCACAGAGAAAAATCCCCTCTTTTTCTTCCGAGATGAGACGGCTGACGATGAATGTATGCGCCCGTGACCCGTAACTCATCAGTTGTCAGGTGAATGGATGCATGCCCGATACCGTCGACCACCACGAATCTGGTTAGAAGCATCAATTCATTGATTGTTTCACCGAGTTTACGCGGTGGCTCCTACTCGTATCGGCTCCCCGGAGAACGCGACGAAAAGTTCGCGCTGATTTGGACCCTATAGATCTGCCAATTCTCGCCGAGCCTTTCCTATTACTCACGGCCGCCGCCGGGGTCTCGCTCTTTCGGACCTGCTCCGAGTCGATGGAGACTGCCGAGAAACGGCTTTCGCATATGTCATTGTGATTTCCCCGTCTTCTCTGGAAATTATCTCTGCTGTCTATTTCCAATTCCTGGCGACGCTACGCCTTTTTGTATGCCGCAGATTCTCGGAGAAACTGCAGCCTTCTTCCGGAGCGAGTGATTCTCACAGAAGTCGCGCAAGCATTGACTGTCTTGCCAGCAGGACTTGATGTCGACCGAAGTTTCCGCATACAGTGTAGAAAAGGTCTCCGTGAGTAGAAAAAGGATCGGCCTCTTGATTCATTCATTCATTTATTTATGTAAATTCTACGAGGACCCACTGGGGGCGAAGGTTGCGAGGGTTGTGTGATGACGGAGTGCGGAGAAACATAAATTACGGGATATTCAGCGATTGGAGGATGGGCTATGGTCGAGTGAGAGGGGCTTCGAGAAGTTCTTCGTCGGTGTGATAACGCTTGGCAGTGCGGAGATCAAGGGAGCTATCGTTTTAGGTGATCGTGATCTGGTGGAGCGGAACGCTTCGAGCGAGGTCGAATGGGCGAAGCGAGGGGTGGATGTCGATGGGAATTTGACGACAAGCTGAGGAAAAGTTGAAAAGAAGAGAGACCGGATTCAACCGACGTATACGCAAGGTTTGCCGCTTTTCCAGTCGAAAAAGTGATGGGGAGCCAGATGCTCCGACCCCTTTCGATAAGAATGCCGAATCGAGCCTTGAACTCTGAGCTGCTCGAATTATCGTGAAGACAGGCAGTCCTCCAAGCCTTCCCGAGCGCAATCAGATCATTTTCCGCGCGTGGCGAGGAGTAACGAGTTGAGACGCTTCAACCCTTACCCTCGCTCATATTTTCATCTCGTCGATCGACTTCGCAATTCTCTCAGCGGTCCCCTACTCGGAGCCAACTTCTCTCTTCACAGAAATCTGCAAACCGCAGAAGAAACTGTCGCATGGAGAATAAAATTTGCGCAAATGGATGTCGAGACGTCGTTGACGATTAGTCATCGCGACACGTTTCCCGCAACAGTCTAGAAAGAGTCGTCGTAATGATAACCCTCAAAATTGCTGTTGGTAGTAAAGGGCGATCTTTCTAAATAAGGCCATGTGTACTCTGGTGCAAACAAGCTGAGAGAACATGCGTAATGGTCACGAGGAGTGATCAGACGGTGTGTCGGAACCTGCGAGATCCCTCGGGAAGACACCTCCACGTTTACTCGCGCTTGGGAGCGTACAGCGCAGGAGCAGCAAGAGCTATCGCCGGAGCATTCAGATATAGCCAAAATCATCGGTTTCGCTGAGTCGCTTGCGACGGCACGTCATCGTTCTCACGTTTGGCTCAATATCTGACTTTCCAAAGCTACTTTATTCACTTTTCCAAGTTCGAAAGCTACTCCAATTCAACGACATGACTTAGAACAGAGGATAATTAACGCGAGGTATCAGTCATTTATAGCTCATCTGATGAAAAAAAACGTTTCATCTAACCCTTTCGAACTTTTCTTCGAAGGTCAATAAGATAAAGAATGTCCTCGAGCCATCGCTAAACGGGAGTATTCCTTCCAATTATGTGGCAAAATCCGATGGACTCGGGGAATCAGAATCGAGCGGCAAGACGCTGGACGGCAGAACGCTAAGCTCAGTTTTCCTGGTGAAGGGAAACTCGGGTCGGACCCATCTTATCAAGCTTTGGAGTATAGAAGCTGCTTTGGAGAGGAAACAAATATGCGAAGATTCAATATTGTAGACCTCAACATACAGCTTACGAGACCGTGATCATCATCACTGACCTCCGCACCGGGTAAAGGAGCTGCAGGTGGCCGGAAAAATAGATTCCCTAGGAGCTAGATCTCTCTATCACAAGTATGTATTTCGTTTCCATAGGCGACGTTGATACTTTGGCGTTGTTCGGACGGTGTTTCAATCTTCGGCTTCAATTTAGCGGCTGCATAGAATGGCTGATATGATCATCAAAGGGAGAGATGCTAATAAGGAGCTAGATGAGGCGGTCACGAAAGATGATATCACCTGGAAAGCTCAGGTTCAGTCAGTATACCCGCTCGATTGAGGGTCTCGTATCGATGGGGGACGCGGAAGCGCAGAGATTGATTGGAAAATTGATCAATGATAGTCTCGTCTTCGCAAGAGGCTCGCCGGTGGTCTGATGAAAGAGTTTTTTTGTACACTCACTTCTCTGTTGTTCAACATCTGAATTGGTCTGAAGTTGTCGACCATGGTCCTGTTGTTTTCGAATAGCGTCGTCCGGAACAGTGCGAGCTGCCAGGGGAAAAGTCGGTGAGGAGTCAGTCCACGGTGGGAAATTGTACGTCTGCGACTGTTGATCTCAGAGAACCCCAGGATGCAAACGGGCATGCTACAGACCTCTCTTTCATTGATCTTCAGAGGATCTCTCAGAACCAGCCACGTGACCACTTCGGAACAGGGAGGCGTGGTCAAGGATCCTTGGTAGGTGAAGAAGTGTTTCGTTCCCGGAAGGAGCTCCCCGGGCGAGAGGGCACCTCGGAGATCAACGCTGTCGTGCGTTCTCATGTCTCTGATCACCTGAGCACAAATGTTTCCTGTCAGAAGAGTCGTGCGCAGATATTGAGAGACATTCCCTCTTCTCCGCTCACCTGCGTGATTTTCTGTAGCCCGGCGTTCGATTCTCCTTCGGTGAGATCGAAGAAGATGCCGATGACGGCTAGTCTACCACTAGCGGAATGGCCGGGTTCCGCAGCCTGGCTGTGGACCATGTGCAACTGCGAGAATTAAGGGACACAGGTGAGCTTCTGTCTTGGGATCGGTTGCTCATCGCGTCGCCGTCCGGAGCGTCGAAAATTTCACCTTACTTCAAGGGGATATCGTCTGCCGTTAACGGTGTGCTCGGCTCCTCTGTAGGAGTCTTTACCCCAATGGAAGTGCATCTGCAGCAGATTGAAGGATCCCGGAAGGGGTCCTCCGGACACCGACTGCCGCCAATTGGGCGAATTCAGCTGAACTGAAATTTATCCGAGTTTGGATTACACCCGAGAGATATTTCGCCTCTCTCTATATCGAGGGACCCGGCCTCCATGGGAAAATGGGCGGACGAACTCACTCGAATGACCCGTGTTGACGATGGTGATGTTCGGGGTGGCTTTGTCATAGCTTTTGAAATAGAGCTGCGACATGCTGCCGTCGTATCTGGTTTTCAGGACATCGATGTCGATGGGACTCTGTTTCTGTAATCCACATTGATTCTGTCCGCCGAGCTTCAGGTCGGCCCAGTATTTCGGGCCTGTCGGCCCCTCATAGCTCCAGCTGATGTGATCTTCAGCGGAAGCGACGTAGGTTCCTTGAAAAGTTCAAACGTCAAACAAATTACTGATCCGAGGCAGTGCCTCGCAAGAGGCTCGGATGACTCTAGGGAGATTGAGACGCGGCACTTCCAGAAAAAAACGCGACAATTCTGGCTGTGTTTCAAGCATGGATACGAGGCCGCCGCCAAAATGACACGTTTCCCCGAATAAATCACTCAGAGGCGCTAGAGATCAGTCGACAGTCGCCAGAATGACCGTAATGTCTAGTTCCCAACCCGCTCGCAGTATTTCCGGTGAATAGCTCCAAGTCATTCAGCTAGTGCAGTAAAACTATAAAGAAAATTTAGGGAACTATCGAACTCGAGCGTCGAATACTCGCTCTATAGGCCCTGGACGGTGCTTTTGACCATGTACCGTGTTTTCGTATGTCTCTCTCATTCAGAGATAAACAAAAACATATCTGTGGTCTCTGACGGAATAGCGCGGGACCGAGAGGACCTTCGGCGAGAGAAGAATGTGTGTTTTTGATTTCGCTGCTCGCTTGTTCTTGATTGGATCGACCTTAAGCTTCTCTTCACTTAGCAACAAGTAGAGGAAGCGTCCAGCGGCAGCACGGGGACCACTTGAGACCGCATCGGATGCTCGCTCGAAAGGCACTGCTGGCCCTCTAGGACGGCCACCGACGACGCGTTAGACAGGAGCGCAGTTTATCATGTCAGGTTCATCATCTTCGCTTCACCGAATGAAGAGTTCAAATTAAGACGCCTGTTTACCCTGACTATACCGCTTCGACACCGTAATCTCGACAGGGTCCCTATCGCGCCATCGCGACCCACGGCGGCAAGTATACAGCTACAATGAGCTCTCAGTCCGTGGTGACTCGGTCGTTCTTTTGTATTCGAAACTTAATTCGCTTCGAAAGTCCTAAGAGTTTTGCACCCAGACTGTATGACTCACTTGAGGCAAGGTCCATTGTTTGCTGTCCATTAGATAGTATATCGAAGACGAGCAACTGACCACCGTACACATTTGCGCTCGACAATAATACACTCAAAACCAAACCTGTATACATCGAGTAGCGATCGTGAGAATCGCGCGGATGGAAGTCTCGCAGAGACATCACCAGAAGCCTCGTTTAACTACACCCGCGCCGGAGAGGGCAACTGAAGGAAACAGAAAATAAATCGGAAATTGTTTGTTAGGCTATGTATTTTTGCCTCTCTGTGGATAGGCCGACTATCGAGCGACTATCTATTTTAGCTTTCCTCGTAGCTATCGTCACCAGGGAAGAAAAATCAAATCAGCGGTTCCATCCCTGCGATCGCATCGACATGAGTCCTCATCGGTGCCCGCCAGAAAAATTGGAAGTTTTTGCTTTTTCTCGGCTGTTCGGCACCTCGTCGTGATTATGTCATCTGGTCGAAATCTTCTTACTGCTCGGATTGTTTGAGCACACGAGTGACTCGAGACTCGGAAGGGCCGTGTTTATGTCTAGCCAAGAAGTTCCGCTACGGGCAATGATGCGAAGTGGAGAACCTTGCGGTGTGCAGCAGGGATTCTTCTCGCGAGAAACGTCGCGCCCAACAAGACGCGGAAGAATATGTTTGCTGCTCACAATTTTCCCTCATGGACTTTCGTCTTTTTTCACTTTTTTTTCGCATTGACAGCTCAGGGCGCGTGTCGCCTCCGTGATAATCAATGCAGCTCATTGGAAGAAATCATTTTCTATTCTGAAGCAGTACGCCGTTGCTTCCCGGGAGTGATTCCGTTCTCCCTTGGCTCGATGTCGCTGCTTGTAAAAACATCGGAACCCGGATCTCCGAGTCCAACACTAGCTCTGGCTCCTATTTCTACCAACGTTTGTGTCGATTCATATTGCTTTCGCTGTGGGAGCCCGAAGATCAGGAGCGCTCCGGCGGAAACAAATTGATCCGGCCAACGGCATGTCTGACTGATTGGCTGCCCGCGCTCTCTCTCCGGTCGGTTGGAGAGCTCGGAGTAACCGAGGTGTCGCCGATTCGTACGAGCACAAACACGATGACAAAGCCAGAGCTCCCTTCCCGAGATTCCAGACGTGAACCGCAAAAACTCGGCCGCTCCCCGCAGAATGACGTGAAATGAACCCGCTCATCTCGCGCTCTAATGTGCATCCGAGTAGAATGAGCTTTGAACTGAAATGAGCCGGAACATGAGCTCCGAGCCGACGTTGAATGACGGAAATCTTCTCCAGTTTTCCACCGAGAAGAATTACTCATTCTCCTTTCTCAGACATCTCTTGCGCAATTGCCGCGGTGCGGCATTCGAAATGAGATGTACATAATCAGACTATCATTAGAGTCTTTCCATGCAGTCGCAGCGGCAGCAAAATCCTTGAGTATTATGGCATCTGGGTGAGCAGAAATCGACCATTTTGAAGCGCTGGCTACATAGAAGAAAGTAAACGCAATCCCCCTTTTACTTCATTTCCGAAGAAACTCACGCCCATTGAAACAGCTCACGCGTTCGCATAGCGAAAACAAAGGCCATATGCCGCTTCTATGCTTTGGCATCGAGCGCCGATTCCAGCCGCTAAGCTCGAGGCAGGTTTTGCGTCGAATAAGCTCCGAGCGCGAGACGAAGCATCGATCATCGAAAAACCTTTCTGTGACTGGGAAAAGCCGCGCAGGCGATCGAAATAATCGGGGTCTGGCGCTCGGAGGAATCTATCAAGCGGACCGGAAAGTGCGACGGGACGCAGTCTTTCCGGAGGCAGAAGCCGATTTTGTTTACGTCCCGAACCATCCCTATGCCAGGTACTATGGCTTCCAGGCCGAGGAGAGAAGTCGGAGTTCCGACGAGCCGACCTTTCTCCTAAGGACGGAAGCCAATGGGCCTCGTGGACACATGTAGGTGTTGCGCCTGAACTGAATCTGAGATTGATTGACAATGAAGTCGTGAGATACAGAGCGGGACGTCCGGAAGGCACGATCTTGGATGCACAGCACAGCTTTATCCACGTGTGCGAGGAATTAGAAAACGGATCGGTACCGCGGAAGATACTGCGCGTAAATAACGGGGCCCTCGAGCGTTTCGGAGAAAAGCCGCCTCGGCGAAAACGACGACGGCGTCGTCGACACTATCCTTCGACGTCCTTGGTGAGGCTGTCTGGTGAGCGAGGTGATTACGCGGCAGGGAACGGACACAAGGTGTTTCCAATATCGCTCCTCGGAGTCCTTTGTTGGAGGCTCGGAGCAGTGACTGCGCGGGAGCTGAACCGGAAACAGGACGTCTGCTTGAAAGGGAGGACGTTCATTCAGACAGACTATAGGACGTCCGATCCCCTCTAGCATTCGGAGTCGTTGCTAAGCGGTCGCACGGAGCATATCCAAACTAAATGGAGCGTAAGAGCTCGTGATAATTGTTTTACAATCGCAGCGGGAGATGTCTGAGTTGTATTGAGCGATTCGCACATAGTTGGTGTGTCGGAGGATTCTGAACGATTGTCGCAACTCTACTGACAATCACGCCATGCTAAGCAGCCATCAGATGAATATGAGATGGGAGAGCTCGGGAATTGGGATATTTTCAGCGCTCGTCTCATGATGGAAAACCACTCACGAAGGCTCGCTGTCACCGCGCCTGATTCCTCGAAAATAAAGCGACGGCTCGAGTTTGGATTCGCTCTGATCTTGGACCATAGACAGCTGTCTGATGGACCTTCCACGGTCTCCACGGACAAGGCGAAGTATCGCAGGGATGCGGAAGAAGACAATGGCGCCGGCAATTCTACCCCACCGGATATCATCAGATCTCTGCTCATTCAATCTTCTGCTATTTAGTTCGATGAATACGGGGAATCATTCGATGTGTCGGCCGAGGAGTCAACCATGCGGCGATTTCCGTTCGAAAACACCAAAACGAGCACTCTGAGCTCAGGCGGTTCCTGACCGTCAAACTTGCAGAGAAATCTGCGAGTCTTGCCCACGCCTTTCCGCTTTTGCCACTGTTGGTATTTGTAACCTCGGGCAGAATGAGCAACGATAGACCTCGTACGTGGCGAGAGCGCCCAAAAAAAATTTTGGTTCAGAGTGTTAATTATCGCAACTTTGACCGTTTTCGCCCACCGTTCGCAAACGGTAATCAGTACCGGCTCGGGGAAGGTTGTCGATTGAGACCGCTGTTCCGACTGAGAACCCCGGCTCCCAATACAATAAAAGTCTCACTGAATCTCTCTCAATCCAAGCGTTAAGCGACAAGGCGCTATGTCATTCACAGAATAATGAGTGTGAGAATGGGCTGAGAGGATGAAACGAGTGAGTCGCTATGGTTCGGAGGTTTCCAGCGAGCCTGTGGAAGTAGACTGCTCCGAGAGGATTCCAATGAGTAGACGCGCTAAGAGAAGGAAACATAAATCTTTCTAGAATCGAGAGTTAGCGTCAGTCACGTCCTTGGGGGCCTTGATGCCCGGCCGGTGACATGATTGACTCGTATCAACGCCTTTTGATGGAAATCCCGTATTTCACGTCGAGTCTCCCTCCGACAGCTGACGCGGATGAGTTCAACTTGGTCGAGCCAGCGTTGGAGTTCGGACTCAGTAAGCCGGGTTTCCTCGACGTATCCTGACGCCTGCAGACGGCCTTGAAATCTGGCGATCTTCGGGAGAGCAGACTCGCGTCACCCTCGACATACTGATACTGATTTCTCGAATAGAACTCTATCGAGTTTCCCGTCGCGCGCGCAAATGGAGGACTCTGACTCAGTATACTCGGAAACTCGACCACTAGCTGTGGAGGACATTTTTTTCTCGACATTCCGATCGGCAGAGTGAGAAAAGCAGACTGGTCTGTCTCATCAATCTAATAGGCTCGTTAGCGGTCGATGACGTGATTGCTCATCGGTTAGTCTCCGAAACAGGTCTAGGATAAATCGTTGTCAATTGACTTTGAGAGGTCGGAACGACTTACCGACGGTGAGAACCAGGATGGTGGGGAACTTCATGGTAATCCAGAAACTGATTGAAAGCTCCAAGGAAGTAGAGATTGTGTAGTTGCCACCGCTGAACTCAACGCCGCCCACAGTGCTCTGTCTTAGAGCCGTTCTGGCGTTCAAGAGAAGCGCTCTCGAGTCCCCTCTCCTGCGCGAAGGAAAGGGTCTGTGCTCTCGAGTGCAAGTCGCAAGCATACCAATCACCTTGCCAATCTTGACGATGTTTTCATTTGAGAAACGTCTACACATTCCATCGATGTCAGCATACACAAGCATGTAGAGGGGGACACTTCGTAAGGCGACTGGCATCCTTCTCCGACGTCATCTGCGTCCACAGTGTATTCGTGTCGGTTCTACTCTGGATCTTTGTCGGGCAAACGTGAGCCCATCGAAATCGACCAGGATGATAAATCGTCATCATGTCACAACTGGAGCTTTCGTTTTCACATTCAAAATTAACAGGGACCTTGCCCCGCCGCCCGCCCGGCTCGTCGAGCGGTTCAGAACGCGATGCCCGAGCTCTCGGGCTCTGGAAGTCAATTTCGGATTGTAGGCTCAAAGAACGATCCAAGTGACTGAGGGGTTCTGAAAACTTCAGCACGTGTGCCGTATGCTCAGGGCGGGCGTCGTTCGAAACCTCCGAGTTGAGTAATGTTTGTTTGATGCGGGAATCATCAGTGGGCTCTTCTGTGGCGGACCGACGCGCGACGGGGAAGGGGGATCGAGAGAGGCTTCCCGCCTCTGACGGTACATTTCACGGCAGTGCGTTTCGGACGGTCCGATGGGCTTACTCAGCGAAGGAAAGGGGTGACGCTCTTTTCGAAGAACCGACGAGAACTCAGTTTACCGACGAAACGAATTTCCGTGCCAGCGGGTGCATAATTCTCGTCAATTCGTCTTCCTTGGAATACATGAAATGAAAAGGAGCCACCGGCCGAACTTCATTTGAGTATGATCGCGACAAGGCAGGGGAGGTTCCCAGCCATCGCGAGGATGAAGCCCCGTCCCGACCGCGCGGAAAAGGAGGGCATATCACAACCCAGACGGGGGCATCACCAGAAATGATGAGCATCCTGAATCTCTTCCCATCTGAAGTGCCTCCCAATCTCTTTACGTTTCTCAAGTTTCATTCGAACGCACCCGATGTAAACGCTCGAATTCACGGTGGGAACGACAGAAATGCGATTCAGCGTGGGTGAGCCAAGGAGAGTAAAATTATTCCTTGGAATGCTTTCTCGGGCCCGAATCTGCCAATATCGTTGGTTGTCTTCAATAGCGTCGAATAATTTCGATTCACGACCATCTGCAATATTTGATGTCTCTGTGCGACTAAGCAATCTCAAATGACCTGAGACTGGCTGACTGATCCGAGTGAAACTTCGAGCAGCAATCGGACAAGTCGCAAAATGTATGCGTTCGATCTCTCCTGAAAGACGTATGACATTTGACGGAGGCTCGACTCCTGCTGCTCAAGATCGAGGCTCGAGACGGTTTCACCGAAGAAGTCGAATCAAGACTTGAATCATCTCCGGAAGTATCCAGATGCAGACAGATCACATGCTCATCGGAATCAATCTCATCAGGGAACAGCTGAGAAGAATTTGAAATTATGCCAGCGATATCTGCTGCTTAGTGAGTCGAATTGGCGAGAAAGGTGGAGACGGATGAAGGGTTCTGAAAACACATATTTCCTAAAAATCCGACACAATGCTGCGAAGCCTTGCCTCGAAGGCCGAACTTTCTCAAACCCAGTCGCGCCGGAACGTGAAAGACAAAGGGGTACAATGTATCATACTATTTGTCAGTAATCCACATTCCGACGGAGAGCAGCCGGCTGGAACTTTCGGTTCCGTGCGGAATCTTTAACATGGCGTTTCGACACAGACTCACAAAGACAGAACCTTGAAGGGCTACCTGAGGCGGGTCACTTGAAAATGTATGCCCGATCAGGCCTGAGCACGTCGTGGATGCCGCCGTCAACAACTTAAACCGAGAAGGTCGATCCATCGGATGAATATCAATGATGTGTCGGGAGTGAGTGTCTGACTGCGAGGGAGAGATTGGCTCCTTAAAGGCCCACAGGCCGGGCTACGGGGGGGAAAAGTTCCCTCCGTCTGGTATGGACCTGACCATACGGTCGGGGGAAAAAATTCTTTCCACGCGATGGCAGATGAGATAGATCTCTAGAATAGTTCCACTGTATGAATGTCTACCCTATCCGCAGCGGGCACTTCTCCTGCCATGATCATGATATATTCACACCACGCGGTTGATTGTCGTAACTCGTGGAGCAAATAAACCATCAGACAAATAACGAACGAATGCTTTTGCTTGCTGCCCTGACACAGACCATCCGGGGCGGGATTCGGCGCTTCGGACAGTACAACGACTTAGTTTCTCGCTGACATGTCGGCTGTTCAAATGAAATATGCGCACATGAGAGGATATGTTCCTACTTCTCGGGAAAATCGTCGACTCCGGAGAACCAGTGATCAATTATTCGACGTCTTTACGGCCTTAGACGATACGTACGACAACGCAGGTGCACGATGCGGGGAAACGTTCGGTATTCGCGATGTTTGGAAATTCGCGGAACCCTAACCGCGGACAGAAAGGGGGAATGGTCATTCACCGTGCTTCCATGCATAATCCTCCGCTTTCGATCTACGTTGAAAAGGTCTCGACTCCTCTAAAGCGATTACGTGATTCTGAAGGTCACGAGAGCTCAAGCGATTCTTGAGCTTTTGATTTACGACGTGTCAGATCAGCCCACGCATACCTTGCCCGCACTCGAAGGGCATCAATACACAGAAGTCAAAGCTGTGAGATGTATCGCTTTTCATAGGTAGTAGCTTCGCCGGACTCGCGTGCGGCACGACCGTTCCGTGCTTGAATTGATTAGGTATCGTTTCCGGGTCGCTGGAATTGTTCATTGGACGAGGTCTGTGCAAGCGCAGTTGTTTTTCTTGCAACTCTCGCAACCTATTGGCTCCAGAGCGCCCGCACGCCGGATGCGATTCTATCCAAGGCCCGAGCGAGTTTGTCGAGTGATTACGACGGAAAGCGTTATACCGATTCGCAATGAATGAGTACGACAGCAAAGAGCATCAACACATGAATTAGCATTGAGATTTCCTTTGTCCAATGTATGCCTATCTGGTATCTGAATAATAACACGACGCATGAGCATTCACAACTGTGCTTACAGTTTGGAATCTTTATTCACAAGTCGATTCGCAGGCGAATTGAAGCAACGCCTCTGGTTTATCTTGGGCATGGCGAATCCAATGAGGAGACCTCTGAGCCTCGTGTCGAAACTCCACAGATCACAAAAAACACTGCTTAGGTCTCTCGTGCTTGCTGAATCTCTCGAAGAATGTAGGCAAACCGCGCGTGAGTCCCAAAGTTCTTTTTGTCGAAGATGTTCACAACGGAAAACTCTGATTGGAGTTCAGATAGATATATGGATGCGGAGTCGGACTCTCCCATCGCTCCCATGGAGCAGGAAAAATGATTGCACAGTAATGATACAGGTGAAATATATGGGCATCGCTGGTCAGATACGCTAAAGAATTATAGAAGAAATTTTGGAAAGCATTACGTTCGATCTCGTAGCTCTCGATTCTGCTCTGATGATCGAGTGGAAAACCCCGATATTTGGTACCATGCCGGACCGATATTACTGCTTTATTCTATAGGGGATAGGGGATAGATAGGGGATAGATATGACAACGCATACCGGAAATTTCCAAGAGGACCTTCTCTTGAGTCGCATTGAACTCTCGAAGACCTTGCGTGAGACTCTTCCAGAAACTTGACGCTGCTCAAACTCCATTAGCGATTCAGGGGTAGCTAGTCTAATATATGACCGAGATATATCGGACAGAAGGCTCTCGAGAGTTTGGAAATGACGATCCAATGTCAAGCCGGGACCGAAGTTCTTGCGCGAACTTTTTGCTCGTTCGAGCTCGTTCGAGTCACCGGCAAGGTTGCTGACCCAGTTCCCCTCCTCCGGGCCACCTCTCCGGGAAACTGCAACCTGCTGAGGGTCGGGAGCTAATGTCCTGGAAAGGAAACTATCGAGGATACGAAGGGAGAATTCAACAGGCGAGGAAGGACGCTGCCACAACTGACTTCGCGCACTGTTTCGCCGATCGAGGTCACCTGGGATCTTTAGATTACGTTTCGCTCTTTGCGCAGCCCTTACGACGCAATGCGAGCCTTGTCCTCCTTGGAGTTCCGGGAGGGAAGATTCCCTTTCCCTCAAAAGCCCTTTTCCCACGATATGTTTGGAAACAGCTCCCTCAACAATGATCGTATCTCGGCGTATCAGTACTCTACACGCGGAACGTGCTCCTTCAATCTCATCCTGCTGTGACGACCAGAGCCCGGAAATTCGGGACGGACTGGGACCCCTTCGAGATATGAGAGAGTAATCTCCACTGCAGGAGGGAAGCTCAAGGGTCGCGACTTCGCTCAACTTCGTACGGCCAGCCTTCCGAGGCTGGCAGGCCAGGTTCCAAGCAACAACAGGGTTCCAATCAATTCACTTTACGGGGCTCAAATCCGGCGAGACTTCGATGCTTGTGAATCTCACGAGGCTCGTCCAAAGTCTGGTGTGGACGGGGACGTATCCGAATCGGAGAACTTCTTTTCCGATGCCAGAAGGACACAGGTTTTCGAGAAACGGAGTGTATTCCATGATCACGTCCAGTCTAGTCTCTATCGACCTCTTCCTAACGAGCTGCTTCCTTCACCGGATACCGCCCGAAAGGTTTGCTTCGTCAGACTCGAACAGTGGAGTGGCCTTGCCCCAAAAGACGGGGAATCGGGAAAATGGAATCGAATGAGTCCGATGACATCACCACTGGCGGTATTCGGGATAAGGATTCAGGCGCGCGAGACGGAATTCGCCAATATCTGCGGGAGCCTCGTACGATTTCACGACTGATCGTAATCCAGTGAGCCCATCGGTCGAAAGCACCGATGGGGTTCCCAGTCTGATATTGGCATTCATCTATTCTCATAGA